TGTTGAATTTTGTTCAAAAGCTTTTTCTGCATCTATTTAGGTGATCATATGCGTTTTATTCTTCAGTTTGTTAATATGGGGTATCACATTGATTGACTTCCATATATTGAAGAATCCTTGCATTCCTGGGATAAACCCCACTTGATCATGGTGTGTGATCCTTTAAATGTGCTGTTGGATTCTGTTTGCTAGTATTTTGTTAAGGATTTTTGCATCTATGTTCATCAGTGATATTGGCCTGTAGGTTTCTTTGTGACATCTTTGTCTGGTTTTGGTAACAGGGTGATGGTGGCCTCGTAGAATGAGTTTCAGAGTGTTCCTCCCTCTGCTATATGTTGCAAGAGTTTGAGAAGGATAGGTGTTAGCTCTTCTCTAAATGTTTGATAGAATTCACCTGTGAAGCCATCTGGTCCTGGGCTTTTGTTTGTTGGAAGGTGTTTAATCACAGTTTCAGTTTCGGTGCTTGTGATTCGTCTGTTTATATTTTCTATTTCTTCCTGGTTCAGTCTCAGAAGGTTGTTCTTTTCTAAGGATTTATCCAGGTTGTCCATTTTATTGGCATATACTTGCTTGTAGCAATCTCTCATGATCCTTTGTATTTCTGCAATGTCAGTTGCTACTTCTCCTTTTTCATTTCTAATTCTATTGATTTGAGTCTTCTCCATTTTTTTCTTGATGAGTCTGGCTAATGGTTTATCAATTTTATCTTCTCAGAGAACCAGCTTTTACTTTTATTGATCTTTGCTATTGTTTCCTTCATTTCTTTTTCATTTGTTTCTGATCTGAGCATTATGATTTCTTTCCTTCTGCAAACTTTGGGTTTTTCTTATTCTTCTTTCTCTAATTGCTTTAGGTGTAAGGTTAGGTTGTTTTGAGATGTTTCTTGCTTCTTAAGGTAGGGTTGTACTGCTATAAACTTCCCTCTTAGAACTGCTTTTGCTGAATCCCATAGGTTTTGGGTCATCGTGTTTTCATTGTCATTCGTTTCTAGGTATTTTATGATTTCCTCTTTCAGTTCCTCAGTGATCTCTTGGTTATTAAGTAGTATACTGTGTAGCCTCCATGTGTTTTTATTTTTTATAATTTTTTTCCTGTAATTGATATCTAGTCTTATGCGCTGTGGTTGAAAAGATACTTGATACGATTTCCATTTCCTTAAATTTACCAAGGCTTGATTTGTGACCCAAGATATGATCTATCCTGGACAATGTTCCATGAACACTTGAGAACAAAGTGTATTCTCTTGTTTTTGGATGGAATGTCCTATAAATATCGATTAAGTCCATCTTGTTTAATGTAGCATTTAAAGCCTGTGTTTCCTTAATTATTTTCATTTTGGATGATCTGTCCATTGGTGAAAGTGGGGTGTTAAAGTCCCCTTCTATGATTGTGTTACTGTTGATTTCCCCTTTTATGGCAGTTAGCATTTGCCTTATGTATTGAAGTGCTCCTATGTTCGGTGCATAGATATTTACAATGGTTATATCTTCTTCTTGGATTGATCCCTTGATCATTATGTAGTATCTTTCTTTGTCTCTTGTAATAGTCTTCATTTTAAAGTCTATTTTGTCTGATATGAGAATTGCTACTCCAGCTTTCTTTTGATTTCCATTTGCATGGAATATCTTTTTCCATGTCCTCACTTTCAGACTGTATGTGTCCCTAGGTCTGAAGTGGGTCTCTTGTAGACAGCATATATATGGGTCTTGTTTTTGTATCCATTCAGCCAGTCTATGTCTTTTGCTTGGAGCATTTAATCTGTTTACATTTAAGGTAATTATCAATATGTATGTTTCTATTACCATTTTCTTAATTGTTTGGGGTTTGTTATTGTAGGTCTTTTCCTACTCTTGCGTTTCCTGCCTAGAGACGTTACTTTAACATTTGTAAAGCTGGTTTGGTAGTGCTGAATTCTCTTAGCTTTTGCTTGTATGTAAAGGTTTTAATTACCCTGTTGAATCTGAATGAGATCCTTGCTGGGTAGAGTAGTCTTGGTTGTAGGTTTTTCCCTTTCATCACTTTAAATATGTCCTGCCACTCCCTTCTGGCTTGCAGAGATTCTGCTGAATGATCAGCTGTTAACCTTATGGGGGTTCCCTTGTATGGCATTTGTTGTTTTTTCCTTGCTGCTTTTTTTTCTTTGTATTTAATTTTTGATAGTTTGATTAATATGTGTCTTGCCCTGTTTCTCCTTGGATTTATCTTATATGGGACTCTCTGTGCTTCCTGGACTTCATGAACTCTTTCCTTTCCCATATTAGGGAAGTTTTCAACTATTATCTCTTCATATATTTTCTCAGTGCCTTTCTTTTTCTCTTCTTCTGGGACCCCTATAATTTGAATATTGGTGCATTTAATGTTGTCCCAGAGGTCTCTGAGTCTGTCCTCAATTCTTTTCATTCTTTTTTCTTTATTCTCCTCTGAAGTAGTTATTTCCATTATTTTATCTTCCAGTTCAGTTATCTGTTCTTCTGCTTCAGTTATTCTGCTATTGATTCCCTCTATAGAATTTTTAATTTCATTTATTGTGTTGTTCATGATTGTTTGTTTGCTCTTCACTTCTTCTAGGTCCTTGTTAAATGTTTCTTGTGTTTTCTCCATTCTATTTCCAAGATTTTGGATCATCTTTACTATCATTATTCTGAATGCTTTTTCTGGTAGACTGCCTATTTCCTCTTCATTTCTTTGGTCTGCTGGGTTTTTACCTTGCTCCTTCATCTGCTGTGTGTTTCTCTGTCTTCTCTCTTTACTTAACTTACTGTTTGGGGTCTCTTTTTGCAGGCTGCTGGTTCGTAATACCCGTTGTATTTGGTGTCTGCCCCCAGTGGCTTATGTTGGTTAAGTGGGTTGTGTAGGCTTCCCGGTGGAGGGGACTGTGCCTGTGTTCTGGTGGATGAGGCTGGATCTTGTCTTTCTGGTGGGCAGGTCTGCATCTGGTGGTGTGTTTAGGGGTGTCTGTGACCTTATTATGATTTTACGAAGCCTCTGTGCTAATGGGTGGTTTTATGCTCCTGTCCTGCTAGTTGTTTGGCATAGGGTGTCCAGCACTGTAGCTTGCTGGTTGTTGAGTGGAGCTGGGTCTTGGCATTGAGATGGAGGTCTCTGGGAGATTTTGGCAGTTTGATATTACGTGAAGCTGGGAGGTCTCTGGTCGACCAATGTCCTGAACTCCGCTCTCCCACCTCAGAGGCACAGGCCTGACGCCCGGCCGGAGCACCAAGACCCTGTCATCAACACGGCTCACAATAGAAGGGAGAAAAACAGAACAAAAGAAAGAAACAAATAAATTAAAATAAAATAAAGTTATTAAAATAAAAAGATAATTATTAAAAATTTTAAAAATGTTTTAAAATAGTTTAAAAAAAGGAAAGAAAGAAAGAAGAGAGCAACCAGACCAGAAAACAAATCCACCAATGATAACAAGTGGTAAAAACTGTACTAAAAACAAACAAACAAAAAAAACGGACAGAGAGAACCCTAGGACAAATGGTAAAAGCAAATCTATACAGACAAAATCACACAGAAGCATACACATAGACACAAAAAGAGAAAAAGGGGAAAAAAAATATCATTGCACCCCATGTCCACCGCCTGAATTTGGGATGATTCGTTGTCTATTCATGTATTCCACAGATGCAGGGTACATCAGGTTGATTGTGGAGATTTAATCCACCACTCCTGAGACTGCTGGGAGAGATTTCCCTTTCTCTTCTTTGTTCGCACAGCTTCTGTGGTTCAGCTTTGGATTTGGGCCCGCCTCTGCGTGTAGGTCGCCTGAGGGCGTCTGTTCTTCACTCAGACAGGACGGGGTTAAAGGAGCTGCTGATTAGGGGGCTCTTGTTCACTCAGGCCCAGGGGAGTGAGAGGTATAGAATGTGGGGTGAGCCTGTGGCGGCAGAAGCTAACATGACGTCGCATCAGCCTGAGGTGCGCCACGTGTTCTTCTGGGAAAACTGTCCCTGGATCATGGGACTCTGGCAGTGGTGGGTTGCACAGGCTCCTGGGGCAGGAGGTGTGGATAGTGACCTGAGCTTGCACATAGGCTTTTTGTGGCTGCAGCAGCAGACTTAGCATTTCATGCCAGTCTCTGGGGATCGCGCTGATAGCCGCAGCTTGTGCCCATCTCTGGAGCTCATTTAGGCAGCGCTCTTAATCCTCTCTCCTCGCGCACCACGAAACAAAGTGGCAAGAAAAAGTGTCTTGCCTCTTTGGCAGCTCCAAACCTTTTCCCAGACTCCCTCCTGGCTAGCTGTGGCGCACTAGCCCCATTCGGGCTGTGTCCACACATTCAACCCCAGTCCTATGGGTGGGTCTGACCGAAGCTGGAGCCTCAGCTGCCAGCTCCCACCCACCCCGGTGGGTAATCAGACATGCCTCTCAGGCTGGTGAGTGCTGGCTGGCACCGATCCTCCATGCAGGAATCTCTGTTCTTTGCCCTCCGCACCCCTGTTGCTGTGCTCTCCTCCACGGCTCCGAAGCTCCCCCCCTCCGCCACCCACAGTCTCCGCCCATGAAGGGCCTTCCCAGTGTGTGGACCTCTTTCCTCCTTCACGGCTCCCTCCCACTGGTGCAGGTCCCATCCCTATTCTTTTGTCTCTATTTTCTTCTTTTTTCTTTTGCCCTACACCCAGGTACGTGGGGAGTTTCTTGCCTTTTGGGAGGTCTGAGTTCTTCTGCCAGCGTTCAGTAGGTGCTCTGTAGGAGTTGTTCCACATGTAGATGTATTTCTGATGTATTTGTGGGGAGGAAGGTGATCTCCATGTCTCACTCTTCCGCCACCTTGAAGCTCCTGGGGAACACTGAAGCTTTAGAATCACACACTTTCAGAACTAGAACTAGAATGGTCCAGTCCTCTAGAAATGAGGCATAGTGGGCCAAGGTCCAGTGTCTCATTGCTTGGGGACCCCTCAGGTGGAGCCACACCTCCTTTCTTCCCTCCTCTGTCCTTCTCCCCTTCCTCCTCCCCATCCTCATCTGCCCCCAGCCCAACTCTCCTACACCCCCTCACTTTCCTTGTTGAGCATCCCCCAGTCAGTTATCCAGCAGGACGAGATACTGCATAGCTGCATGCCTGGGACTGGGAGGCAGGCGAGGAAGATGTAGGAGGTGAAATTCACAGGAAAGAGGAGCTGCAATGTGGCTATGTCACTCCCGGAGGGATGTAACTTCTCAAAGCCTGGGTGCATGATAATCTGGCTCAGGGATATCTCTTGGGTGTCCTGGGTGTGCAGGGGCACCTGGGTGCTTCCTAACAGAACCTGGTAGTTCTCCGGGGCATGCAATTTTCTTTAGGAAGAAGGGAATATTGTCACCCTCATCTCTGCGTGTGGACTAGCTCTTTCCCTGCATCCTCATCTAACTGCCCACAGGCCTCTACCCCACATGATGCTAGACAGCTTTTATCTCCCCATTTCTAGTGTTCAGGAGCCCTTCCTTCTTGAGGCTAATTGCTATTCTACTTAAAATCTCAGACACACGGCTTCTCCATCACACACTAGAATCAGAGGAGCATTGAATCCTTGTGCTGGAAAGATCCTTGGTGGCATACCAAATGAAGGTCTTTTGATTGTACACAGGAGGAGTTCTGGTTCAATCCCAGCTCTAACTTTACCCTTCCCAAGACTCCCTACAATCCACCTTCTGGCCCCACACTCTTCCTGACCCCTCCTTTCTTTTTTTTTTTTTTTTTTTTTTTTTTCTCCGGCCTCTCACTGTTGTGGCCTCTCCCGTTGCAGAGCACAGGCTCCGGACGCACAGGCTCAGTGGCCATGGCTCACAGGCCTGCCGCTCTGTGGCATGTGGGATCTTCCCGGACCGGGGCAAGAACCCGTGTCCCCTGCATCGGCAGGTGGACTCTCAACCACTGAGCCACCAGGGAAGCCCACCCCTCCTTTCTTTAAACACCTTCCTGCCCAAGGGCTGCTTCTCCACTTAGTTATAAGGACTCACAAAAGATTTGTTAAATAAATGAGCAAATGAGTGCAGGAAACACACTGAACACAGGTGCTGAAACTTCCCACCTCCCTGACTGTTTGCAAGGCTCATCCACATGGAGACCCTCTCGTGCTCCCCTTTCCCAAACCCTTCCCCTCCAGGAAACCCCTCCCTCTCCATAGCTCTTCTCCGGAACCCCCAGTCCATGCGTCTGCCCTTCTCACCCATGTTGGGCCTTCTCTTGTGACAGGATGGAGACAGGGTGAGGTGGGGACTTGCCACACCTGATGTCACAAAGGGGCTTGCATGGATCATGGTATAGACTAGGCACCAATAGGACTCTAAGCTCTGAAAGCTCCAGCTCCCAGACCTGGGCTGTGATGCCCCAACTCCCTGGGGACCCCTCCTCATCTGTTCAGACCTAGGCACTGAGCCAGGCCCAGGACGGCCAGGGGAGTTAGACTCCTGAGCAGCCATGTCACTCTCCCAGAGAGCCCCAATTCCCACCTATGCAGCCTGGCACCATGGCTACCCACAACGCACACCAGAGGCCATGACTACTCCTGGGCACACAGTTGTGTAGGAGTAATAAGAATTGCCCAGATGCTGGCCATACATGCGGTCCCAGGTCCCTGCCTAGAGTCTGACACCTGGAAATGTGGGGACATCAAGAAGAAGCTGTGATCAGAGATTGGTCCACACTGCTTGGCAGTTAGGAAGGACACTGCCATTCTCCTGAGGCACATCTGTGTTGAAGGATAGACACAGGGGCTGAAGGCAGAGCATGAGGCGCATCTGAGCAGGGAGGACAGTCCAGGTGGAAGGTACACAGGCCAAAGGTATAAATGACATGCATCTGAAGGCCACAGACTGCCCCAGAGAAAAGCCCAGAGGAGCTGACGTGGGATGCCCATCACCCCTTTTCTCCTCTTCCTCAGCATACCCCTCCCCTGCCAGTGCCTGTGCTGGCAACCTAGGAAGGAGGACTTACTTGAGAAAGCAGTGGGCAGTGGAAAGGACCCAGTGGGAGTTAATGAGGACAGCTCCACAGATACGTGAGCCCTGGTACTGCAGGCTGGCCTCTAATGGCCACTGGCCAGCCACCATGTCCTAGCCACTGTAGATCTTCCCCATCACCTTGGGTTGCCCGCATACTGTGGAGACTCCCCTGCCACCTACGATAGAGGCACTAGTAGTACCCCAAATGCCACTACCAGGAAGGCCTTCTCCACTTCATAGGTGGGAAAACCAACGCCAAGTGTCCAGTGGCCTACCCCAAATGACAGTGCTACCAGGACTCTGCCTTCACTGGCTGCCCCTGAGA